CCAACCCGACATCTTCTACTTGTGACTCGATCTTCTTGAGGTGATCTTCGATCTGTTGAAATTTTATGGCAGCATCTTTTTCTTTCTTCAGCTCGTCTTCCACTTGTTGAAGCCTTGCAGTGGGAAAGTCTTCTTCAGCCAACTTTCCGATCTCATCGATCCTGGTAGTGTTCTGTCCAAGAGCGGTAAAGGCCTCTTTTGCAAGCAGTACATAACCATCAAAGGTGGCCTTGTCAATCTTCCTTGTACTGATCTGGTGACAAAGCGTGTTTCGCAGCAAGCGCAGCTGATCTAACGCTAAGGCATACGTCTCAGCTTGGTTACCAGTGGAGCTGATAACAGTGTGATGAAAAGTTCCACCTGGTGGGGATTTCGCATAGAGCTCTTTTAATGTGCAAAGCTTTCCAGTCCCGCCTGGCATGGCAAAGGTTTTTGCAAAGATAGTGGCTTCGAACAGAGCTGTACAGTCCCATTCCTTTATTGATTTACCAGTTGGTACATATTTTGTCTTGCCGCCTTCTTTCGCAAGGAACAGGTTTCTAACCGCAACGGAGTCGTCCCATTTTGGGGCGCCAGCGACCAGGTTGTCCCACATGAAGACAAACACTTGACGGAGGGCGACTGGGAACTCATCAAGTACAACTGTGGAGAACTTGAAAAAGTTCAGTTGTTCAGGAGAAAATGTCATTGTGAGACCTTTGAATGTCTCCTGGTGAAGATTCTTTAATCAAGACAATATTGTGAGGTACATCAAAATCGTCCTTTTTGAAACAGTGTAGTTGAAACAAAAGTCAGACCATCTGCAAAAGCAAACAGTTATTGTTCAAGACATTTTGCATAGTAGTAAACTAGCCGTGAAGTTTGACAGCGTGTAACTGTCAATTTCAAAACTTTAGGTATGATGTTCTTAAACTTTGAGAAGTCACATTTTTGATTTTCCATACATTTTTCTGACTTTTTTTTTCCCACCAAGTCGCCCGCACTTCATAGAAGCCGCGTACAAGTCGGCGGAAAAATCATAGAAAAATGTATGGAAACTTAAAACGCGACTAGACGCTTTCTAGCACAGCTACGTTCCTAAAATTTGCTCAATGCAATCCTTTGTCTAGTATCTTGACTTTGCCACACATAAATTGTTCATAATTCAATTTTTTTAAGAACATTATTTGCCATCGGATTTCCATACAAACATCGTAATTTCTGACGCTGTTGCTTACCTGTCAAGATGGCTTCTAAAACCGTGTCAAGGTTAATTGATATACAGCTGGCCTGAAAAGAAGCAATTCGTGAATCTCATTGTCCAGTCACTCTTAAATATGGCGGACATTTCAAGTTG